GGGGGAAATTACGTCGTTTTAGTCTCAAAACTATGTGTTGTGGCCTTTCTTTTATGTATTGCGTTATGACGTTTTGTGAAAAATATGTACGTGATGGAGAAAAATGGATATCATTTTCGAATTCAGCGTACAGGAATTACTGTAGAACGTGTAAACATTTCAAGACAATAAAACCATCGCAGGCTTGTGTAATCAGTACTCAATTAATGTTTCCATGCAGACTTTTCAGTTGGGCCTATTCTCGTCCTTGTCGAAATTAGATTAACAAATATATATATATATATATATATTATGTTCGTTCGAAAAACAACTACAAAATCGAAGAAGCAAGCAAAAACACTGTCATAGTACATCGCCTTATCAAATCGATTTTTCTGTTAATATGTTTCGTATCGGTTGTGCATGGGCCACTGCCACGAAGCTTTTCGCTCAGTTTCGTAACTTAAGATGGCTGCAACAATACTCAAATGTGTAAACACTTTTGTGTATTGTAACTAAGCCAACACTTGGGTGCTATTAACCGTGAGACGGTTGTAGGCTACAGTCAGTGCCGGATTTAGTCTTGGTGAGGCTCTAAACTATATAAAGCTTGGAGGCCCCTTGTTAAAAAGTTACACCAGAAGGTATCACAAAGGTGCGTACCAAAACAGGACCTTGGGTCGCTACAAAAAATTAAAAGCATGTATATATGCCTTTAAATTATTTAATAGCAAGGTATTTAAAGTGAAAAATACAAATTATTTTCAAATGAATGCATTTTAAAACCAAAAAAATCTGAAATTTTGTGAGGCCCTAAGCTGTAGCATGTAGCTTATGCCTAAATCCGGCACTGGCTACAGTAAATGAAGTGTAATAAAAATATTGTTAAGCACCTTCTTACCAGAAACCCGTAATGGACTACCTTAGAAAGAAGAGTTTGAAATTATTTCCAGTTTAATTATAATATTCGTTACCGCACCATATCCTTATTCGTAACAAACGTTTTTCAATCAAACTGACAACAATACGCCTCTTTCTCGTTTATTTTTCTGTTGTGGCAAATAAAAGCTTTTATGTAAATATATTTATGTATTTAGTAAAAACGAAAAATAATTTCGATCAACTTTTCAGTCGTGCATTCTTATGGCTTAATAAACGATGCTGCAGAAAGTATGAATTAAATCATAATTTTGTTTAATATACAAAGAAACCTTAATTATACGATATGGAAGCGGTATAAATTCAATTGTGCAAAACTGGGAAGTAAACTATCTGAAATAATAATCACTAGAGAAAGGACCTTTTTGTTTCTTTTTAGCTTAGAAAATAAACCTACTGACACAGTTGTCTCTGGTCTCTTAATGTTCAAACTAATATATCTACAATTCGGCCTACCAAGTTCTTGTGTTCAGCGAAAGTTTCTTTTATCACAATTTTTATATCCATGCAGTAAAATAAACTCTTGCATACTGTCTTAAAAAATACGTTTGTTCATTTTATTGATTAAATTTTGGTGTATGACTTATAGCCATTTTGAAAGTTTCCGCCTTTCTTAAACTGATAAATAGCGTTTTTTTTGTTTTTTTTTCAAATATTTCGAAATATTATGTTGGCGTAAAATAGCCTTGAATGAAAATATCAATAATCTCATACACAACAGATATAGGTCGAGCGTGACCTTGTAGTTAGCGTGCTCGATCTGTGAATCCGAAAAACGAATCGCGCTTTGCATGTACTTGAAGGTTGAGGGGTGCGCATCAGAGTGACTCTCCTTGAAATAAGACTTGAGGGTGGGTGCTGGGATGTCTTTCATCTAGTTGTCTTCCGATGGCTCAGCGGTAAGTTTTATGGTTTGTAACGCAAAAATGTGAATTCCGATACCCACAGTGTGCAGAGCACAGATAACTCATTCAACAAAAAATTACCTATACTCTATTAAGATCAAAATTACTGAAGGCAATGGACAGATGACGTTTGTATGAAAATTCTAAAGCCAAACCAGAATAACAATACACACACAATAACTGCAAATTATGAAAAACTAGAAATTGTAGTGAAAGAAGATACCAAATTACCTTTAACATGAAACTTTTGATTTCTTTATTTCTTACGAACTAAGCAGCAAAGGGAAAATTGTTTTACATAACAGTAACACGAACACCAGGCTAACGGAAACTCAAGATGCACGTTAAAACGTATTCCTGTTACATCATCTTTCTTCCCACCAACTTCTCCAGGGTTTGAATTGTAGAGATGAACTTGTGCTGCTGTATTGGTCGTTATGTGTACAAATAAACTATTTCGTAGACACATACTTCATATGTTTTTGTATACAACTAAGTCAACCTATCGCAAAAATAATATTGAAACATATCACAAATCTATGCTGTTTAAAACGAGATTGACGTGTGAACTCTAGAAAAGTCCAAGACGCTACAGACAGTCACATGGTGAAAATATTAAAATTCAATCTCGTGCGTTATGTATTAGAATTTCAAATAGCCTGAAATTGAGCTAAATGATAATTTAAATTTAGTAGTTAAATTATACTTTGGATTTAGCAGTTAAGTAAAAGCCGATACATAGTGAGTTTATGATATTTGCCAACAAGATTGATACACACAGTTTTTTTTTTAGTTTTTTTTTCATACAAATATATTCTAATATACAAACAACAATACAATTTACAGTAATATTTATTACAAATAGTTATTACACACAATGATTTATATAAAAAAAATTACAAACTTACAAGCAATATAAAGCCTTCTTTCTAGTCTGGAACTTCCTTGATATCTTATCGAGTGTTCACGATGAGCGAGTTAATTACGAGTTGATGTAGGTACAGTTCGTTTAACGGGGAGCTAGCTAGCTTTGTCCTTCGTTATTCATCATCCATACACGCCGAGTTTTCCACTATGCATCTGACAATGCACCTACAAAATGGAGCCATCAAAGAACATTGTGCCCGCATCCACAACCAAAAACTCACGCGTCAGGACCTAGTACAAAACACTAAAGTAAAACGCCGATTTAACGACTTCACAACGCTCCAGATACACGAGGCCATATAGATCCTACAGCAAACCCCCACAATCAACAAACAATCGACTGGAACAGGACGCACACTGCTACTTCTTGGCGGGAAACCCCGAAGCCACAATACAACACTCC